CAACACGAAAAATTTGTCGCGCAAATGCAATACCGGCCTAATACACGCTCGGGGCGGGGAATTTCCTCCTCTCCGGCGCGTGTTACTCTTTCCGCGTAATTTCCCCGCGACAACGACGACGCTCCTGGACCGGAATCGCGGGGGCGTCGTCGGCGGACGCTGAAAAACTCGTCATTGCGTAATCGGGGCCGAGGGTTTCGGGCGCGCGCAGAGGCGCGGGCGAGAGCGTGCGACTCGAATCGTCGTGCCGCGCGATGCAACGCGAGAAACCCGCACTCTTGTTCTGCACACTCCCGTAAACAAGGCCGCGCATAATCGCCGTCCGCCTCTCACTCCGCGCTCATTTACTTGGCATTCCACATTTCATAAGCAGCCTCCGTGACGACTCCGCTCGCTCGCGGCACGATCGATTCATTTGCGCGCCGCGCCGCGCGCCCGGCGCGTCCTCGCTACGCGGAATTCGCACGCGGCACGGCCGTCCGCGGCTGCCGCCGCGCGATAAGAATCGCCGGAAGCGTGGTACGCGCGATGTCTTTTAACACGCATCTCCCGCTGTTACTCGCGCGCGATTATCAGCGTCAGTCCTGTCAGCGGCGGGATATTAAGGTCACGGGCGCGGATTGATTTTGAGGCAGCCGCGTGCGAGGCACCGCGCGCTAAATATTTTAAGCCCCGAGAAATTTTTAAGCGCGTTAAATGTTATTTCCTTCAATGATTAATGCGGGATTTCTAAAAATAAAGAGAAAATCGAACGCGATCTAAAGCCACCGGGCGGAACAAGCCGCGAATATTTCGTTTATTTTTCTACCAAAGAGAGGGAGAGAGAGAAAGCGTATGTAACAATCGATTAAAAATAAAAAAGCCTCTTCAGAACGCACGAAAAATTGGGCACGGCGGTGGATTTAAAACCGGCTCCGGCGCAAAAAAAAAAGGACGACTCCTCTCGTTCGGCGCGATGAGAGGTGTACGAGATCGTATCACGTGGCGCGGCCCGTCCGAATCGTCCGAACACGATATTAATAGGCAATTGGACGCTAATTACGTGTCTCGGCTCTTACGTACCCGCTGATGTAGAATGGCCTGGATGTCGCGCGGCTGGATCTTCTTAAGTGCCGTCAATTTCTGCAGCCTCTCCCTCGCGCTCCTGCGAACAGAGAGGAAACGCCCGCCTGAAAAGCTCGTCGACGCTTATCCTTGGTAAGTCGGAGACGAGATACCGGGAGTGAGTCACGGGAGCCAATCCTTATCGCGCACGAAAGTCTTGTGTTTCCGTTCCGCCGCTTCTCGCCTTCCTTGGAGACGCGCGCGCGGGGGACAACGCGAATGCATTTTGCAAATTGTCGTCGGGACCTTTTGTGAAATCTAATTCGCGACGAGTGATTATCCGTTCTCATTAAACGTACTTTCACGGCGGGTAAGATCGGGCGATCAGAAGCGATTTAATGGGCGCAATTTTCCCAGGTGAGTCGTGCAAATCCGAATGGTCCAGCGCGGCCGAGATGAGTCGCGCGATCTTCGAGCGATCGAATGTAGGAACAGCGGTTTCGCGGCCGAGAGAAGAGAAAAGGCGACGGGACGAGTAACGGGTTGGTTGCACGAAATAAAGGAAGTTAATACCGTCGTGTTATTAATCGTCGCTGCTAATGGTGGCACCGTCGCGCCTGCGAGGGATAACGCGGCCGATCGGATCGATATCGCGGAGAATAATAAAAAGGAAGTCACCGGAGAGAGCGAACTCCCCCCGATTTTGCGGCCTCCCGTCACGAGCTGTCATTATCGGCTCGGTTGGAGCGCGCCACGAGCTGCTTTCGAGCGGTTCTCGTGACATTTAGATGACGCATCCTCGCGTTCGATCAAAAACACGTTCGCCCGCTGGACACCGCCGCCTTTTATGTGACGTTTAATCGATACGCGATTCCGCCCCGACGGGAATGCATTTACCAGAAGCGGGGCACTAGATCCCGTCTCTCGCGTGCGTGTGTACATTTGCGTCACGTAGACAATTCGTGCGGCTGTAGCGCGGAAGGGGTGCGCACCCGCGTCGCCCTCACGTGAAGGGGCACGCTCGAGTTATATAGCTCACCTTTCGACGGCGATAACCCAGGCGTCTCGTATCCGCCCAGCGTTCGGCCCGTCCAGCCCTTCTGTCGGGAATTCACGAAGAATTAATTAGGCGAATTTATCGCGCGTTTAACACGCGTCAAAGAAGCCATTTACCGGGCGCGCGGCTATAGTCAAATATAGCGGCGGCCCGGTGTAACGCAGAGCGGAAATAAGTGAAGCGCATCCCCGTCTCCCTCGCGCTCGTGAGCCTGACAAATTCCCTTCGTTTCTCATTTACTCCGCGCGAGAGAAGCCACCCCGCGTTTCCATTAATTTAATATCTCCCTCGCCCGGCCAGTGCTTTTTCCTTTATTCCTCCTTTTACTCTTGCGGCGGGACAGCCGCGTTACACGGCAATTTTTATTCCCGTGCCCTCGCGGCTAACCTGACCGACATTCCTTTCGAAATACAGCGGGACATCTTTGCGCTCGCGCGCGCGCGCAAAGTACACATTGTCCTCGTAACTTTTTGCCCGTCGGTTATTTATATCGTCCCTTAGCGGGGAATAACTGCGGACCTACCGCGTATCAACCCACTTTTCTATAAAAAAAGAAAAATCTGATCGATCGCCGGCTACCGTTCTTAGTGCAGGTCGCATCTTCGTCGGCTTCCTCGTCGTCGATGAATTTTATAGTGGACAGATCAAAATGCCTCGCTACGCCCTCGGGCTCCGCCGCGCGACCCGACGGCTCCGCGAGCTTCGGTGGCGGATCGTCGACTATCGACTCGTCGATCACGATCGATCGGCTGTCGAGGCCGGGACGCGACGAGCAACCGCAAAATATTAGCTTGCGAAAAAATTTCGACATGGCCGCCACTTTGTAGCGAGCGGGGGGGGGGGGGAATTTTGTTGCGCGAGGCCTGCAAACCCTTTTACGCGCGAACTTGACAATCGTTGCCGCACTTCTAGCGAGCTACGCTCATCTTTTTAATTGGCATTGAACCGCATTGATTTCGGTCTATTTTTAATTACGTTCTATTTATAAGAGAGCGCGTAGTCCTATCGTAAATATACGCGTCCCACGAAAGAATGAAACGTATACGGAGGTAAAACAACTCGGGAGGTGCTTATCTTTTAATGAAAATGGGGTCTCACGTGTCTAATATAATATTTCAAAGGCCGTAATTTACTCGCCATTACGACGAGCGCGAAATTTCGTTTTTGTAACTTTATCCAGACCATTAAACCCGCTTCGCAATTCTACTCTCTACTTCTTTATTAATACGAGCAACAAGGGCCCGCGGATACTGCATTTCCATTTAATGCAAACGGCATTCCGAAAAGTCGCAATTATCAATCTAGCCAATTCATCGTCTACACTGGTTGCAATTGATTGGCCAACTCGTTAACGATATTCGGAAACTGATATCGGCACCGTTCGAACACTGAATGAAAGGCTCGCGGCGAGACTACCGAAAGCGTCCCTGAAAGAGGACGGTATTCGCGTGCACGTGTCACGAAACTAGAAAATAAACTCTCCGCCGCAGCCGGCGACTAAGAATGGATAGCGCGGACGCATTCACGAAGGAGTTTATATTTGGAACTACACGTCGGCAGAGAAGAGAGAGAGAGAGAGAGAGCCGATAAAAATTGACAGAGAAAGAGAGACAGAGAGAGAAAGAGAGAGAGAGAGAGAGAGCGCGCCAGTTCAACGCACTTAGCACGGCGGGAAATATAAAGGCAAAATGTTTAAGGAATTTGCGAAAGTCCTCGCTCTGTCGCCGAAATTCCCGCAGAGATTGAAAGAACAAACGCCAAGATCGATAGAGTGTCAGGGCATTCTTAAATTCCTGAAATACGTGTAGACCTTCCCGGGGATCCCGTGCCGTTCTTTTTGTTATCACTTGATGCGATCCCCGACCTGGTTTTCCTCGCGATCCGCTTTAGTGCGAACGGAGAAGCCGATTAAACGTTACGTCTGGCGGTTTTCATTCTGGAGAGGCCTCAAGACATTCCATTCCGGCTGTTGGAAATTTTCATGGGGAGGAAAACCTTCGACCTCCATTTCGTGTGTGTGTGTGTGTGTTTTTTAGTGCGCGCGTTTCGAGCGTTTGGAAAATAACGTTGTTGATAAAAGCGGGTAAATTGATTCCTCAAATAACATTAGGATGATTATCGTCTCTGCGCGCTACGGAAGATAATTAATATTTTCTTTTTCGATCGAGCCAATTAACGCAATTGAATTTCTCTCGGTAAAATTCACTCGTTCATTTTCCAATCGCTTTGACAGCTTTTGATATTTGCTCACGGTGCGCGCGTGTTGTACGCGTATACATATCGCGTACATGCGCCACGTACTTCGTTCATTGTCTTTCGAAGCGTGTACAGCTGACATAGTGCGCGCCGCAATTGCATATCACTTGAAACGCACTAGGCCAAGTCTCGGCGTGAAGCTTTCCGTGTCACTACCTGCATACATTCATTGCCTTAAAGCCTTTTGTGCCCCGCCGAACGACAGGAGGTGCGCGCCAGCGAAGAAAACTCGCAACAGTTCTGGTCCCTTTTCAAAATGTTCTGGCTTAGCTCCAAAACGTATTCGGATATGGCACGGCAATTCGGAGAAAGTGTGTTTTCGTCTGAAAGCGCGCCACGTTTTTCCCCGTTTTATTGTAAACGGCCCTGACAGTCTGTGACAAGTATGAGTGTCACGCGACGTATAAGCATGATGCGCGAACGCCATCAGGCTTTGACGAATTTGTCTCGCGACGAATAAGGGGAATATCAGTAAAATCACAGTGCTGGCGATAACCGAGGGCTGTTGAACGATAATCACTTACAGATGACTAGTACATATTTGGATATACGTAGAGGAAAGTCCCCTATTATATAATAGACTACTAATATGAGTTAGCGGAGTTTCTGCTACAACAGGCATCGTCTGTTGGTTCCACCACGAATTTATTGCTCTTGGAGTGAAACCTCTCTCTCTCTCTCTCTCTCTCTCTCTCTCTCTCTCTCTCTCTCTCTCTCTCACTCTGTTTAGTGGGAAATTGATTATCAGATTGTGTAATCGTTGCGAAAAAAAAGATTTGTCGAATTTGTACGTTGAAAACCTACTATCTAATAGTAGAGAACCTCCCTCTATACCGATCTTAATTTTTCAGTAATGCTCGCTGAAATTAACGATGCGATCGACAACGACAAAAGCAGCAATTCGAGATAGTTCTTCTGCGACAATATACAGGGTGTTACGTAATACCCGTCTCACCTCTTGTTTACGGATAGAGCGGACTAGACCGAGTCGAAAAGTCCCCTACCATTTTGCAATTTTCGCAACAGTTCACGAGTTATTAATTATTAAAAATCACTGTCTTAGCCCGGCCTACCGCCCAATTCAAACGCGCGGCGAGATGCGGCCGTCCCGCGATTGGCGTTGCTAGGCGCGTGAAGAGTTCTTTATCATACGTAGCCGTTTGCCGTGTGTCATATCGTGGGACGGCCGCATCTCGCCGCGCGTTTGAATTGGGCGGTAGGCCGGGCTAGAGGACAGCAATTTTTAATAATAATAACTCGTTAACTATTGCGAAAATTGCAAAATGGTAGAGGACTCTTCGACTCGGTATAGTCCGCTCTATCCGCAAATAAGAGGTGAGGCGAGTATTACACAACACCCTGGATAGAACATAAGGTTATCGCAAGTGTTATCCACAATTTAATATTGTAACAATATTGCATCGCGTAATTATGATAGTATATTACGATATCACTACTAACTTATTAACGAAAGTAAATCATAGGATATATATATGCGTGTGGGATATGAATGTGCAAACACTTGGTTAGCGGTAATTCCTCGCTTAGCGCGCGGCATATATCGCCACCTCATTCTCATTCCGTGTTTACAATGAATAAGACATTCGTATGAATACCGGCAAACGGAATTCAGGATCAAATCGCATTTAGCGTTAAATGCGGCGCACAATGGAGGCACGAATGCGGGCCGAGGGCAACGGGTGAGATAGGGCCAAGGTAGATGAAGAGGCATTACGTTCGCAAATTCGGTGACGCGGTAAATTCGGGTCAAGCAATGCGTTGCCGTGATATCAGCGTTGTGTCTGGAGCGCGCGGTCCGGAGAGATCTGGCTCCGTCGAAACGGTAACTAGACGCTCGCGCATATGTCGTGGGTATACGTGTATACAGCACGGCAATCAACTATGTTACGCTAAGTAGGCTTTACCCGAGTACCTAAGCCAGAACCGCTTCCCGAAAGGCACCGCGAGTTCGATAGTTGGACAGCGGTTAACTTGCGAATAATTAAAGCCGGTCAATCCCGGCGCTAAAACATCCGGCGTGCAGAACCGTAATCGTATTTCTCTGTCCGGTCGGGCAATCGCGCGAAAATTAGCGCATCTGGCCCGAAGACTCGCGAGACGCGCGCGAGAGAAGGAAATCCGTTTCCGTCTTTCTCCACTTTGACGTCTCGTATCTCGATCTCGTATTTCGCGTCTTCATCGAGATAAGTGAAGAGAGTACGGGCAGACGTTTAAATTTTCTCGTTATCACGTGCGAGTGTGATTAGAAATCGCGCTTTATCGGGCTAGATATAATCGTTTCTAAAAGCACGGCGGTAAGACGACTTTTTCAATTTTCATAAATCATAAAACGATATCTGTGTGAGTTTCTACGCGCAATTTCTTGACGCCATTTATCCGGAAAGATAATACAAGGAGGAACAACTGTACCGATGCGCGAAATGGTTTTGATCATATGAGTAGTGCGGCTTGACGCAAGAGGAGGCGAAAACCAGTTTTCTAACTGTATAGGCTGTGCCACACAGTGATATACATATAGTGTACACGTATACACACAAAGTCGAGCAACGCCGAAGAGCCTGCCTACCGAGCTGTGGACATTTGATCTATGAGACAATATTTTGATCCTGTGTATAGCGATGGACAGAATGGTTGCGACACGTTTTTTTTTTAATTAGTTTAGAAACGCGCATTTAGATTCAGGGATTGCGAACATTTTCGTAAAATTTTATTCACATTTTATTGCGTTGTGTGCCTCGCGAATAGCACGGCTAACTTTAAAAGAAT